GTGATGACGAGAACCAACAGAACCGTGCTGAAGAAGAGGATGAGGATGAAGTGGGAACCACAGGTACTCAGGGCCTTGGCCCCAGCTCCCTCAGCCTTGATCCTTAGCACGGTTTTCAAGATGAAGGAGTAGGAGAGAACTATAAGGATGAGGTCAGAGCCCAGCAGAGTCCAGCCTGCCACAAATTGGTAGAGTCTATTGAGCGTGATGTCATCACAAGAAAGTTTGGACACAGATAGGTTAGTGCAAATGCAGTTACTGATGATATTCTCATCACAGTAACTGAGTCTGGCAGAAAGGATGGGAACAGGAAGAGAAAAGAGGGCATTCCGAGCCACAACAAAGGTGGCAGCCCTAGACACAAATTGGTCCGTGATGATGGATGTATACCTCAGGGGATGGCAAATGGCCACATAACGGTCATAGGCCATAACCATGAATGTGCAGGACTCCATGGTCAAGAAACTGTTCATGATGAACATCTGGAGGAAGCAGGCAGAGAAGCTGATGGACCTGAGGTCAAACCAGAAGATGGCCAGGACCTTGGGAATGACAGTGAGGCAGAGCACAATGTCCAGCAAGGAGAGAAGGCTGAGCAGGTAGTACATGGGCTCATGCAGAGAGACTTCCAGTCTGATCGTGAGCAAGAGGGTGGCATTAGCCCCCATGGCCAGGAGGAAAAGGAGGCTGAGGGGCAAGGACAACCAGTGCTGCCAACTCTGGTAGTTAGGGAAGCAGATGAGGAGGAATTCCGACACTGGTATAGTAGAGGAGTTGCTGGGTGATGCCATGCAAGGTATCTTGATCAAGCTGGAAATCCAGGGTACCTTTAAATGTAGATAAAATATGTCAACGTACAAAATATGGTTTCTAGATCCTTGAAGTTCTTCTAGTGGAACTTGAAGTCTACTGGGTTCTTAGTTTGTCCCAATGAAATTTTAAAATCATCATCATCATCATCACCAACATGACATTAAATTTAGAACTTAACATGTGCCAGTCATTACAGGGAATGGTTGATATTTGTTATTCACCTATATTCACTTTACCTCTTTAAAAATGCTTTATGTTTTTGGTTTTGCTGTTGATTGTTTCCCATTCATAGAAATACAATACGGTACAGTACAACTGCCCCATCGGGTTTCCTAGGCCTTAATATTTATGAGAAAAGAACATTAAGTCTTTTCTAATGGGGATCCACTGACGTGTTTGAATGGAAAACTTTTTGGTTAGCAGCTGATCACTGAACCGTCATGCCATCAGGAGGGTAATTCCTATTTTTATCTCAATTTTACAAATAACAAAAATGAGGCCAAGCGAAACAGTAGTTTGATCAAGAGTAAAGAGTCAGTGAGTGCTGACGTCAGGAAAAAAGAATGGGGGAGAGCAATGATGAGATCAGAACCCACTTAATTGTTTTTGTTTTTGTTTGGTGACATCAAGCAGGTTACAACCTATAGGTTCGACTCTGCACAACAGAACAAAACACTGCCTGATCCTGCACTCTCGCCACAATCTTGCCTATGCCTGAGCCCATTGTTGCAGCCACTGTGTCAATCCACCCGGTTGAGGACATTCCACTTTCTCGCTGTGAAGCATAATTTCCTTCTCCCTCCAGGGACTGGTCTCTTCTGACAATATGTCCAAAGCATATAAAACAAAGACTTGCCATCCTTGGCTCCAAGGAGCATTCTAACCGCACTTCTTCCAAGAAAGATTTGTTTGGTACTCTTAGTCTTCTTCTCCAGCACCACCCTTCACATGCATGCATTCTCCTTTGAGCTTCCTCATTCACTACCCACCTTTCATGTGCATACGAATTGGAAGCATAATGGCTTGGGTCAGGCACACCTGAATCCTCAAAGTAATATCCTTTTTTTTCAATTCTCTAAAGCAGCAGTTCTCAACCTATTTGCTACCCCTATGGGGGTCGAATGACCCTTTCACAGGGGTCGCTTAAGACCATCGGAAAACACATAAATACTTCACAATAAATAATGACATATTGTTTTATGATTAATCATTATGCTTTAATCATGTTTAATTATTTTCAATTTGTAACAATGAAAATACATCCTGCGTATAACAGTAGCAAAATTACAGCTACAAAGTAGCAACAAAAATAATGTTATGGTTGGGGGTCACCACAAATGAGGAACTGTATGAAAGGGTCGCAGCATTAGGAAGGTTGAGAACCACTGCTCTAAAGAGATCTTGTGCAGCAGATTTACCTAATGCAACATGCCTTTTGATCTCTTGACCGCTGCTTCCATGACCACTGATTGTGGATCCAAGTGAGAAAAAATCCTTGACAGCTTCAACCTTTTCCTCATTTATCATGATGTTACCTATTGGTTCAGTTGTGAGGATTTGAGTCTTTTAATGTGAGGACATCCCATTAAATTGACTTCATTTCACAGAATCAATTTAAGGTGATACCATCACAGGAAAGTTTGAACACAACTTAGAGCAAATACATTTCTGATTCGAGTCCATGCTCTCAGCCTAAACCTCTTTATTCTTGACAATGACAATTAATTAATCAAGCTCTTCCTTCAAGTTAGCCAACTCTGTGGAACTCCAAGAAAAGCCCAACCACCCATTCCATAGATGTGGACACCAACCTTCCATTCCATAGAAGTGGACACCAACCTCCCATTCCATAGCAGTGGACACCAACCTTCCATTCCATAGAAGTGGACAAAGCTTGACTTCAGGATACTTTGTTCTATTTCATCAGAAAATAGTTGATTCGAGGCAGAGTAATCCTTGATCCAATACAAGGGGGAAAAAAATCTCTTCCTGTCTCAAAGAGAATTTCACTTTAAAGACATAGCATCTATCATTTTGCTACTAGATTAGTTGATGTTATATCTCCTTGTGAACATTCCAGGTTGTTTTCTTTGGGTTGAGCCTTTTGGAAATGATGGTGAATTTCCTTTTTGGGTGACAGAGAAAGTTAAGCCTGATCAATAGACTAAGGAGCATATGAAAAATTGGAAGTCCTATGACTGCTCTTCAAATAGAAATAAGTAATCAAGGGAGTCGGGTCCAAAAGGGAAAAACAATGAAATTTAGAAAGTAGAAGAAGTAATCTGATCCCCTGGGTAGAAAAATGAGAGAGGCTGAGAGTCTTTAAGGAGATCAAGAATTTGAACCTTAGAATATTATTCCATATGTGAGGATTGAGTACCATAGGTTCCACCCATTTGGGTTCTTTGTCACAAGCTGCTCCAGAAGCAAATTGACATGCATTTTTATGATCAGAATGTGAGCTTCCTTGTCACAGGAATCCCAGCTAAAGATGAGAAGTTCTTATCATAGGGCTTTAAATGACATCGCTGTACTACTAAACCTTTCTCTTTCTGCTCTGAGGAAATCCAGTCTCTAGCAGTGTAGAATGACAAGGCCAGTGGGCCAAAAGTATTCCTAGGCCTTTGTGGAAGCTGCTTCTCACTGTATTCTCTGCAAGAATTATGTCTGGCCTGTTGAATTTCCCTAGAGCTTTGAACTGCATTAAACTTTTGTATACTTAGCTATTGATCCCCTCCTTCATACCAAGTCATTTGCTTGATTGTAAATACAAAGGAATGGATAGGCAATACTTAGAAAACAAAAGAACCAAGGATTATTTATTCACTTATTGCGTGCCCATGTGCTGTTCACTGTTGGGATAGGCAATGTGTAACCAGCTTCTTGATCTCAAATCAGTGTTAGAGGTGACATTTGTTTTAGAGCTTGGATGACAAGGACTTAAAGCTTCACTGATAAACCAAGGAGTTGGATGGGAAAGAAAGAGCATTTTAAGAATTTTAGAATGAATTTATATTTGAATTGTTATGCAGGAGATGTTGGCAAAATACTAATATCAAGTACTATCAATCATTCAAAATATAATGTAGAGGTCAAAAGAAAACTTAAATGTGCAAATGAGGATGTTTGTTATTATTTGAGAAAAAGACAAAATAAGGGAAAATGTTATCCATATGTAAATAACTGGGGAAATCCAAGCATGCTTTTCTGTCCTTTTAATGACTTTTTGTTTTCTTCATGAATGATGTTCCTGATGTCATCCCACAGATCATCAGACCTTCTTTTCATTAGTGCTCAATGCAGTAAATCTGTTTGTGAGATGCTCTCAAAATTCAGATGGGATATATAATAGGTCCTTTTTGGGCTCTTATGGACTTGTTTTAATTTTCTTCAGCTTCACCCTGAACTTACAGTGAGCAATTGATGGTCTATTCCACAGTCAGCCCCTGGGCATATTTTAGCTGCTAACATTAAGTTTCTTCGTCATCTCTTCCCATAGATAGTCAATTTGATTTCTGTATAGTCCATCCAGAAAAGTCTGTGTGTGTAGCTGCCATTTGTGTTGTTGAAAGCGTATTTGCTATGAATATTGTGTTGTTCTTGAAAAATTCTATAATGCAATTTCCAGATTTTTTTCCAATACAACTTTGCTTGCTGAAAGTGAGGAGGACTTGAAGCACATGCTGTTGAAGATCAAGAGATTGCACCCTTCTGAATAGATTACAACTCAATGTAAAAAAACATAAAATCCTGACAACTGGACCAGTAAGTAACATCATGGTAAGCAGAAAAATATTTAAATTGCCAAGGATTTTTGTCTTGCTGGGATCTAAAATCAATTTTCATGGAAGCATCAGCCAAGAGATCAAATGATGCATTGCATTTGATAAATCTACTGCACAGAACATCTTTAATGTGTTGAAAATGTGTTGAAAAGCAAAGATGATACCAAACCATGGTGTTTTCCATCACCTAGTGTGCATGCAAAGTCTGGATCTTGAATAAGGAAGATGAAAGTAGAATCAATGCATTTCAATGATGGTGCTGGTAAAGAAGATGCAAAATACCATTGAGTGTCAAAGAACAATCAAGAAAGAGCTGCTTTCCAAAGTGAAGTCTACCATAATGATGTGAATTGAGTAAAGTCTTTATGATCAAGATCCAAAGATCCTAGCATTTGGAATCTATGTTCTTTAAATATATATGCTTTGATTATCTTTTTTTTCTTCTTCTTTTTTACATCATTTTATTGGGGCCTCTTACAACTCATCACAAGCCATACATACATCCATTCCAATTATTTCTTTTGTTGCATCATATCTGTTTTCCTATACTAGAAAATAAGGAGAGGGTGATCCAACATCTAGAGGGTATCAATAATAGCCAAAGGATTTAGCAAGAAATGGGAAGATGAAAGAGGGAGCCCAAGAGGCATATAATCTGTATGGTTTTGATTATTTATTATTGATTTTGATTATTTTTATAATTGATTATAATATTTTTCTATCCAATTCATCTGATAAGTCTCTTCTAGGATGGTTCAGATGCATATTAAAAGGTGAATATCTTACCCAACTGCTAGCTACCGGAGAAGATAATGAAGATATTGATTTAACCAAAATATTTGCACTTTGAATATCCCACACTTTCAAAATACAGATTGAACAAGGCACACTACAAGCCTATTGTAGAACTTTAGAACAAGTCAATGATTTAATGATTTAACTTGGAATTAAATCAGTTCTATCTTGGCTGTGCTCTGTATTCTCAATTATGATTAAGACTATAATCCCCAGCGTGAGTCTGGGAAATAAGAAGGCTATAAAGAATAGCCAACTTTTCTGGAAAGTTTTCTCTTTTCCAATGACCTCAAGCCTTAGATCCTTAAAGTAACTATTTCAAGAAATGTGTAAATAGTTAGTACCTTCTTCTATAGGATCTGAAGGCTCAGCATCCTAGTAAATAGCATTAATTAAGCAAAAGCAGTTTT